ACTTGAAAGTCCATGCCATTTCATCTACCAAGTGTGCCGTGTGAAGGTGGTTCCAGCCTCGTGAGGGCCTGCACACATCTCATATAAGGAACTCCTTTTGTTGTCTCCACCAGAAACACACACCTTCACTCAAGACCTCTTTATCTGAGGTACTGTGGATAACAAATATGGGCATAGGTTACTTTTCTATGAGGGACAAAAAGAAAACAATGCCAGGAAAACGTAGGAGGCAATTGGCTCATCATTAGAATCTCCGAAGAATAAAAATAAAATGGCTCGAAAACATACTTGGATGCACTTCTATGAATTGATTTGTTCTTCATTTCTAAACCAGACTTTAAAAATGATTGAATGAGCGCCCTCTAGTGGATAATAATAGCAAGAAAAAAGGGATTTCTATTTTTTTAACCATGAAAATTTAATTGTTTTTTTAATCAGCAGGATTACACCAATTGTGCTTAGAAATATCTCGATAAAATTATTTTTTTATCATCATTATACATGAGTGTAGAATGGAGACTAGAATAGTAAGAGAAAAAAGACTAAAGCCACAGAAAAATTGATTGAAAATCATATAATTAAATAACAAACATTGCCCAGGCAATATATTATGCAGTTTTTCAAGGGATATGTAGGCACAGGGAAGTGACAGCAATCAACTTCCAGATCCTCAACTTCCATATATGCTGTTTCAGAAAATAACTGCTTCCCAGCATGCCTAAGGGGTCCGTATTCTCCTTTCTCAACCTGCCCTGCACACGCATCTTTGTCCCACATTACAAAGAAGGGCACACTGCACCGGCTGGACTCTTCCACACTGTATTACTCGGGGTGTCAGAACCTCCACATGCCAGAGGCTGGGGATATTATTGTAACAGTTAAGGAAGTAAATGAGTAATGAGTAAAATTCTTTGACAGGTCAGAGAATTTTGGTGCTTTCAACAAAAATAAAGGAGCCCCAGTTGAGTTGTCAGCTAACAAGTCATTTAAAATATTTCTGAAGTTAGGTTATTAAGTTATTTGGGAATATAACTCAGACAGAATTTTAACAAAAAGGAGACATGGCTATAACAAAATGTATTTAATTTTCATCCATTTGTGTAAGTGGAAGTTTTTATCAGTCCTTATATAAACACAAAAATAGGAATGAAATTGATGTTGAACCCCGACTTATAGCACTTGGTAATATTCTTCCCTGGAGACACACACACACACACACACACACACACACACACACACACACACACACTTCATTAAAAGTCCATTTTCTATTTTTCTTTTATATGTTTATCAAATCTATAATAAGTTATTTGGATCAATTTGCACTAATAATTTTACTGATAATTGAATCCACAAGTTACCATTTTAACATTTACAGATTTAAGGCCGCAGTGAAAGCAAATTTAGTTTATACGTGTGTGTGTGGCAAATGTGATAGTAATAAAAAGATTTCAAGCACAGTAATATATTAGGATAAAATTATATGGGGAAATAGAATGTAAATAAAAGAGAAAAGAACAGTGTAAAATTTCCATCTGTTCAGGAATAGTCCATGAATTTTAAATAGGCAATGATGAGTTTCAGAATCACTCTGGTATTTCAGTTCCACTGGATACATTTTAAAATGTGGTATAATTTATATTTTAAAATGTCAATGTTTACAGTATGCTGGAAATTATATTCTTAAACATATGGTGAAGATTTTGATGTCAACTGAAAATTTGCCAGAGGGTACATAGTTTTTTTCTCAATGATATCAGTGGATATCCTAGCCAAACATTTGCAGGTGGCTGACCTTTTGGGTCCCAGTTCTGCTAGCTACTGGTGTACTTGAACTTCTGGCGTTGGACAGTACGTGGAGCAGCTTCAGACTCCTCATGAATTTTGGGAGAAAGCCTGGAGTGTAGCACCTAGTCAGTGTCTTCTTGAGCCTTCTAATGCCCACCCCCTCTGCTAGCTGCTGGGCTACTCAGTGCTTTGGACTTGAGTAGCCACTGGCCTGCCAGTCCCAGGTTGTCATCCCACCAATGCCAGCACTGGAGGGTGTGTGTGTGGGCGATTGGGAGGGGAGGTAGGTTCCCAGAAAGTAGGTGTGGGGGCAGCTGAGACCCACATGAATACACCACTTTGCTTTCTCCAGACTAGGAAGCACCAGCCTGTCCTTTCACTGAGTTTACCCTGCTGCAGCTGGTCCTCAGGGCAGAGTGTATGAAGCCATTCCCATGCTTACCAGCATGGTTAGAGACAACAGCAGAAAGACCAGGGTCGCTGGCACCACGCGAGGTGGAAATTCTCTGCTCCTCCCTGCTGTATACCATTAGCGCTCCAGTATCAGGGTCTCACACCCCTGTTAGGCTTTAAAGCCAGCTGGATTTTAAATCAGGTACTTCTGCTTAATAGCGATGTGACTTTGGGTAAGTTACCAAATCTCTGAAAGCCTCGGTTACCTAACCTCTAAAATGGGGTAATAGCTAGCTGCCCCTCATGGTGGTTGTGATGGTTAAGAGAGGTAAGAATGCAAAATTCACATTGTAAACATCCAATCAGTAATTTTTATTATTAACGTTATCAGGGTGAGGTAGAGTGGGTGGATTGGGTGTTAGGCAGAAATGCCTCCCTGGGGAGATAAAGGCTAAACTTCCCCTGAGTGGAGAGTAGGACAGTCAGCCAGGCCACAGGTGGGGGAAAGGTCGTTCTAGGGCCTAGGCAGAGAGAGCAGTTTGTGGGGAGCCCAGTAAAGGCTAAGGAAAACTGGGTCCAGGAATTCAAGAATGTCAGTAGGGCTGGGTATAAGTTAGGAGGGATCAGAAAAGTTATTTGTTCTAAGTAAGACCTTATTTTGCTCTTGTTAAAGAGGGAGATAGAACAATTTCCTCACTCTGCCATAAGTACTTGTTTTTAAATCTAATGAGGCTCTCCTTGCTAGAGTCTTTCAATGGTTTCTCATCACTTATAAGATAAAATTAAAAAACTTTATCATATTATACTTGACCCTTATAATCATCTGCCACAAGACAACGCCAGACTACTTTTAATTCCCAAACATACTGCCCTTCTTCACACCTCCCTGCCTGTGCGTGTGCGATTATATTATTACCTTCACCCTGGAACCTCTTTCTCTTTGCATCCTGTGGCTAAGTTTTCCTCATCCTTCAAGATAGTAGATAATACACAAAAATCAGTAGTGTTCCTAAACTAATAATCCTTTTGTACAGGTTAAAAGCAAATATGCAAGATTAATAACCTTTCCTAAGAGATCTGAAAGGAAATGCGAATAAATGGAGAACATATTGTAGTCAGGGTTGGAAAGACTGAATACAATAAAGATGTTAATTCTCCCCAAATTTCGTGTGTTTACTATAATCCTAGTCAAGGTTACTATCTATCTCTCTACACAGATATCTCATAATTATTTTAATTGACCAACTAATTTTAAAGCTCATCTGAAAGAATAAATATTTTAAAATAGTTTCAGAAATTTGAAGAAAAGAGAAGAATGGAGATTTGCCCTGTCAGATATTAGCCAATTGGAAGTGTCCTACCCTTTTTTAGCTAAGGGGTGGACATATGATGTAAGCCAAGCCACTCCAGTTTATATTAATTATGTTTCTGACTCTCATTTCTGTTACTACCTGACTCAAAATCCTGGGGAGATTTTCACCCAGTGTAGAGGGTAAGATTAGGATGGATTGACATAAGATTTACAACAGTGGCATTCACAGATTTCTCTTTGGGATCCATTTTAATGCAGTGGTTCCGAAAGGGTAGTCCTAAGAATCAGCAGTCTATCAGTATCGCCTGAAAACTTGCTATAAATGCAAATTCCCAGGCCCCACCTCAAACCTATTGCATCAGAAACTCGGGGGTTAGGGCCCAGCAGTGTTTTACAGACACTTGCATGCTAAAGTTTGTTAGGCACTTTCTCAAAGAAAGAGGTGGCCATTTTTCAGAATGGCTGAAACAGATACACCGGGCTGATAGGACGCACCATCACAGTGAGAGGCAGTGAAAGGAGAAAGCGGTTTCACACACGAGGCCCTGATTGAAATTCACATGGCACGCTTCAAGCCATAGGCGTGTTCCATTTCAATTCAGCCATGCCTCACACAGGCAACTCCAGGGTGAGCAGCAGCTGCAATTTATTTAATTGACCATGGTTAATGAGGCTCCCAAACAACTCAGCTAGAAAGGCCAGCTCATAAATAAATTAAATATTTCCTGCTGTATCATCTGTCAGTTGATGTGATCCTGTGATTGTCAAAAGATCTGACTGTTGGACTGAATAAAAAATTAGGAAGGTGAATCTGTTTGGGGGGCGGGGAGAGAGCTTGCACCATCCATAAGTGATTTTTAAACAATCCTTGGTTTTGGTTTTGTGTCACCTGAGCCCCTGAGTGCCTCATTAACTCTGTCACTGTAGAGTTCCCTGTAGTCAGCTTTCCTTACTTTCATCTTCATAAGTAAAACTTTAACACTCCCTAATGCAAGCACCCTTTAATGATATAACTTTTCCTTCCAATATTAATAGCCTCAGGTTTTAAATTTTGTCTCTAAATTGTGTCTTCGTTGTGCAAAGAGTGATAGACGAAAATCTGTTTTGATGGATGTAGAGGTGTGTAAAGGCAGACCATGATTTTTTTGGCAAGATATTCTGCAGGGAGAGACTTGGCTGAGGCATGGGAGGCATTCCTCAACAGTACAGAATTTAAGGGGCCTCCAAAAACCGGTAATCAAGATAAGTAATATTTTAATGGCCAACATTGGCACAAAAGAAAAAAATCCACGATGAACAAAATAGCAAAGATTTAAATGGAGATGGTATCATAAGTGCTGGGTTGCATCCTATCAGAGCCTGAGGTAAAAGGAAAAATCAGTAATATTGATCCTGGCTCTGAAAATCTCAGCTAAGTAAAGTATGAAACTAGGGCCCATTCACTTGATTAGTGATATGAAATTGTATTGGTGTGTATAATAATAGTCCCTTGTTTTTCTATTTCTAGGTATATACTCACATCCCCATCGTGCTGGCAACATGCGATCCTCCTTAACCGATTCAATTACCCTTCTGAACTGGAAAAGGACTTACATTTGAAGGGTTATCACGCACTCTTCCAAGGATCTCTACCCTATTATCCTAAATCAATGAAATGTTACCTGAGCAGAATTCCCAGCAGGATGCCTTCAGAAAGACACCAAATTGGGAACCTGAAGAAATATTATCTCCTGAATGCTGCCTCCCTTCTCCCAGTCCTGGCCCTGGAATTAAGGGATGGAGAGAAGGTTCTGGACCTGTGTGCTGCTCCAGGAGGCAAGTCGGTAGCTCTGCTGCAGTGTGCTCACCCAGGTAGTGTGCTTTCCTCTCAGTAATCGGCCGCTTTCCCTCTGGTGGAAAATACTTTGAAAGTATGTACAATATATGGGGAGAAATGTAACATTGAGTTTGTAGACTTTGAAAGCCTGGAAACCAGGACTGTGTGGAGCGAATGGAAATTTTAGCTAAGGAAATCATTGTAAATAACCTTTTTTTCCAGCTACTTAATCCTAGCAGGTAATTGGGAACTCAACTACAACAACATTTGGGGATTGAAAAATCTATCAGATAATATGAATCCTCCTAAGCCAGTGACAAAGGTGTTTTATTACTTCTTTATTTTATTTTATTTTTTAATTTATTTTATTTCATTAATGATAGGTTGGCCGGTAAAGAAACGCGCACAGTCAGGCAAGTTAAGAAAGTTTAAAAAAGTCTATTTTATTAAGAGAGAGTCTGTCGGGCCGAGCAAAGATGGCGAAAGTCCGGACTGCACGTCTAAAGGAAACTTGCAGCCCCCAGGGAGGGGGTGAGGAGGGTTATATAGGGGCGGTGCTGACAGGGTAGCATTGTTTGGACAGAAAATGCTGACTGCCTGTAAGCCAGTAGCTGTTGGGGGGCATTTTCTGTTAATCACAAGTTTGGCTCTGTCTGCAGGTGCAGGCTAACAGACATTTTGTTTTCTTGCAGACATGGCTCTGTCTGTAAGTCAAGGTCTCTGAAACCTAACATTCAGAGACCTAACAATTACTTTTATATTCAAGAGTCTTATATTGGTATTCTTGTCATACTTCTATGCAATAGAACCATATACATTTGAAATCATTTTTTAAATCATTGGACCATAAGGTTCTAAGGTAGTTCGGTCCAATAGAAATATAATGTGAAGTTTATATATATCATTTAAAAATTTGGGGTAGTCTCTGTGGGGGCTAAAAAAAATTACTTTTTTTCCTCGCTCATAATCAAATTAACAGAAACAGGTTAACAGGAGAAAATGTCCAAAGTTTATTACTGTGTACATGCAAGAGGGTGTCATAAGATGTGAGACCCCAAAATGCATTGGGCATTTGAGGTTTGTATGTCATTATGGACAAAGGAGAAAGGGGGCAGGGGCCTGAGATTTCAAAGGAAATAGGTGATCTCCAGGTAGTTGAGGAGAGCAGAACACCCAAGGCATGCAAATTCCTGCTGGACAACCCAGAAATGGTGGGAGTCAGGGGGTGCTCTAGTGAGCAGCCCCCACTTGGAGCCTTCCTATCTACCGTACTCGATTCAAATTAGGCTAAGGAGCACATGGTAAGATTTCCTTTCTGGAGCAGGTCTTTCCATGTTGATCTCTTGGGCAGGAAAGGCGGAGGGTCCAACATTCTTTCTGAGTCTTGCTTCTTAATAACCAGCTTAAAATCAGTATCCCAAAAGGCAGTTTTAGAGTGGCAAAACTTTGGTTCCATTCATCTTCTTAAAAAAAAATGTAGAAAGAAACAGATGAAATTAACAATACATTATAACCCATTACATCCAAAATTTCATTTCAACATGGAATCAAAATAAAAAATTATTAATGAGATATTTTGCATTCTCATTTTATTACATAGTCTTCACAATTGGTGTGTATTTGACACTCACAGCACATTTCATTTTTTTTTTTTAAGATTTTTATTGGGGAATTGGGGGAAGGGGAACAGACAAGTTGCTGTCGTTTTGTTCTTCAGTCTAGTTGTGGAGGGCGTTGCTTCACTAGCCCAAGTTGGCACCATCATTGCACTCCTCCTGGGCGAGGCAGATCAGTTGCCGGCTTCTGGACGGCCGCTCACTGTGGCTGCTGGCCGCTCACACTGGCTGCTGGCTACACACAGTAGCCCGTGGCAACCCACTGCCACAGGGACTGCAGCCTATGCCGTCGCTGGCAACTCACGGCAGTCCAGCTCCAGGTTGAGCTGTTGTTCAGCAACTTAGCTGTGGAGGGCAATGTCACTGGCCCTCATATGTGGGATCCGAACCGGGGCCCTCTGGCACCCCAAACCAGTTCTTAACCATCGCGCCACTCGGCCGGCCCCCACATTTCATTTTTAACTACCCACACTTGCAGTGCTCAGAGCCCCATGTGGCAAGTGGGTATAGCACTGGACAATGCAATTGTAAAAGATTTTAGAAGTTGTTTTGAAGTGACGTGTCATTACGATTATTATTAGTACAACAATGATGACATGTATGTAATATACACTTTCATAAATATTTGTTAAAAGTAATTAGTCAACATTTCATTTTATTTTCTTAATGAGACTATGGGGTTTTTTGTTCGTTTGTTTTAATTACTTAAGATTTCCCTGGGTGAGTATTACTTATGGTTAAGTAAGACAGACTTCAGCATCAATTGGTTTTTGCTTGTTTGATGATTTTGTTTTTATAATGCTCGTGCTGTTCATATAGACAAGGAGATGGAAATGGTGGAAGTTGTGTTATAGTAGTTTCACTAGTTCTTAAACTTCTGAATTTTAACCCCAAATCACATATTTTTCATCAAGGCTTATTTTAATGATCTATTAGGTGAGCACCCGCTAGGCCTGTTTTTATTTTGTTGAAGGCAAGAGATGGGAACCATCTCAATTACAAAAGGCTGTGTCTGTCACCTAGTTGTCATACGCATTCCCATTCTCACAGGGCACCCGGTGTGCTGCACTTTGTTGCTATGGAGGTTTCTACTCCCTGGCACAGTTTGTCCTTGTTAGAGGTTTGGATGGATGGGAAGTTTGCTCCTCGTTTGTGAAGTTGTTGAAGGGCCCTTGTGATGGAGATGCCCTGACTCAAGGCTCCTCCTCCTTTAGGAAGTTGATCAGAAAATTGATTCCTTTGAAACTGTCCAACCCCCTTATCCCTTAGAAAGTTGTTATGTATCCCCAGGGCATGCATACCCCAGTTTGATGGCTGCTAATTTATATCTCCATCGGAGGGCATTCCCTGTTGTTGAAAGAGATCATAAAAGTTTTTTATGAGAACTGTGAATCCAGGTGTACTAAGCATTAGTGCAATTATATCAGTTAACTGTATATTTAGGAGAAAACATCCTGTGTGTTTCAGCATTGTGGTTAAACCTCTGTTGTTCAAACTTGCTGTATTTGTTACATAAGAAATCACAACAAAAGAGATTATTTTGCAAGGTTATTTTGTCATCTGTATAATTTGAACTGAAGTTTTATGGAATCGTATCATGAGGAGTATTTATATTTACTTTCACTCTTTCTGTGTCCTTTGACAGTATTCTTTTGGTTGTTACATCAGTTTTGAAAATAGAATTTTTAGTATTGTAAAAGATAGGAGAGAAATATCCTTTTTGGTCCTTTTTTAAAGAGAGGGCATTTTAATCCTAAATTATCCTTATTAGTAGGCTATAAATATCTTACATGCTTATGGTAGGGAAGGTGATTTGATTAGGAATTCAAAGGCAAACTGATATATTCTAGGATTTTTAAGTGGGGAGAACCTTTCTGTCCTTACATCAAGGGCAATGGACCACAGGCAGTGTTCCAAGTAAAGTAGCGTTTCATCTAAGTAGGACTAATGATAATGGTTTACTAAGAAATACAGATGTCTTCATGCTGATGCTCAAAGAGCAAATTAGGTTAGCTGCAGTGCTCAAATTTGGAATGCAGAAGCAATGTTAATCAAAGCTTTTATAAGCAAAACTTAAAATGATGGCTGCACCAAATGTGCATTTATACCCCAAATTTCGTTACATCAGTATTGGTCTTTATTCTGAGCCAAGAGGCTCACAGCTCTGAATGATTAAAAAGCTCATGTTTTTAGATGATTTAAAAAATTATTCTACTTCTGTGTTGGTCCAGCTGCTTCCACCTGTTAGCGCAGTAATGGACTGTCCATTGTTTTATGTTTGTTTGCTTGGGTTTTTGTCAGCACAGCCTTTTTGATATGTTCTGGTCTTGACAGAACAAGAGCAAACAATTCAGATTCTAAGTAGGAAAACATTAATATAGAAAGCATGACCTAGGTTGGTGGAGTGGCCTAACTTACTTGCTGAGAGCTCTGGACAGGAAATCTCTCTGCTGTTAGTGATAGCTTTTTGACATCAAAATAAAAGAAATAAATAAAATAAAATAAAAATAAAAATGAAACTGAGACAAAGAGAAGTGAACTGAATTGCCCTAGGTAAGGGCAGAGCTGGGATCTGAACTCCAGTTTTCACTGACATGTAACTTTTCGACTCTGTTCTGCATCCCCCAGTGGAACTCAGCAGCTGCCTGATCCAGCGCCCTGCATTGCACAGCTTCTTCAGGCTCATGTTTGTGTCTGTAGCAACGAGCACTGTGCCCAGTCCATTACAGGTGCTTAATAAACCAAAACCTTAAAGTGGTTATACTCTCAAGTGTATATTAATCTGTGGTCTACCACGTTTTAACAAGTTCATTATTACCATTTTGGATTTTTTGTGTGAATTTGTTACATTGTTTCCAGGTAGCGCAAAGAATTTTAACATTAGCCTTTACAGCCCTTTTAGTATATGGAACATGTCATTATTCCAATTTTTACATTGAAAGGGACATGTAAAACAATTGTATGATGGCTTATGGCTTCAAGGAATAGTTGGCAGAACTGAAAACAAACAATTGTTTTTGTCTAAGTTCGGTATATCAAAATAAGTAAATAAATGGAACTTCTAGTTTCAGTTCTTTCCATGGACCAAAGGCTTCCATGTGCATGTGTAAAGCCTCAATGATTGTTTTCAGGAATATGTTCAGTTCACCCCTTTTCATACTTAGATTAAAAAAAAAATACCAAGATTTTGTTTATTTATAACCATCTAAGCATAAAATTAATTTTATCTCAATGTGGTAAATCTTAGCATCTATATGAAATGTGGGTGCCTTATAGTGCATATATTAAAAAGTTTAACCAACCTAAGACTATTTCAAATAAAATCCAGATCTAAGCAAAACAACCATAGATCAGAAAGTTATATTTCAACTGGGAGCTATTTTAAAATGCTGAATTGAAAATCTTTACTAAAGCTATAATTTATTGAAAGCTGCCTGATTTTCAGTTGTAGCAGTTTTAGTGTTCTTTATTATAATGGCATGTGTCAAATCAAGTCAACCACATTTAGTGAGCATATACTATGTGCAAGGCATTGGATGGTAGGTGTAGAGCTGTGAAGGATATAGAAACGACTAAGACTTCTGCTTCTTGTGGTATCACAGTATCCTAACCAGTGCTCCCGCTGAAAACAACCTAAACAATGTAGGATATAATATTAAAGAAAAACAAAATCTTTTTCAGATGTATTAATCATCTCCGAATAGTCACTGACCAAAATCTAAGAGACAGTGGCAACCTAGAAGGTAAATTGAGCAGCGAAACCAGCTTTTGGCTTGAGTGCATTTGCTTAACCTGAAAAATGTGCATATTGATTTCATGAAAATACAATAGAAGACAAAGCCAGAGCCTGCCCAAGTAGCACATCTACTACGAGACTGTTACATAAAGCTGAGACACCATAGTCCTATTCCCTCCGTGTCAGGTACGCTAGGAAGAAATTGTCCTCTCCAAGGGACTGAAAGGAAAACTGTCTGTCTTCAGCTTTGGTGGTGGGG